GCACTGGAGGGGGAAAGCGCACTTGAAAAGGATGATGAAGATGATATAGGACGTGTGTATGATAATATCTTAGCAAGTATTCAGTATAATATCATAGAACCAAGCCATTCTCTTGCGACCGGGAATCTCTTCTCACAGTAAATCACTCATGTGATCGTCGAAACACACACCACCTGCACCAAAGCAGTATTTTTCTTTATTTTAGTAGCTCTCCACACAGCTGTTTCTGAAAGAGATCCCGAGTAGAAAGTGCCCAAATTCTGGGGACGGGAAGTGATTTATTTTAATGTATAAAAGGTATAATAAGGGGGAAATAAACATTGCAATTCCACCAGAACTATAGTAAAAACTATATATAAATAAACGAACAATTAATGGAGCAACTAAATTAATATACTTTGGGTTCCGGGGGATGGGGTGCGAGAAAGGAAAGAACAACTTAGTTAACCAACAGAGGCGTTTTCGATTATGGTCTGTCCGCTGCATGACCAAGTGCACTGGAAACGAAACAAGAACTTTCACAATTGTCAAAGGAGAAAGCGCTAAAAATAGAGTCTTTGGGACTGGCAGGAATTTTGCAAAATTCCGGAAGAGATGAATGAATGATTTAGGAACCAAAAGTCTATCCTCTGAGTCCTCGGATCAGAGACTCGGGAATGCTCCCTCACATAGACTAATGCAAAATACCGAAAGATAATGATATAAACCGGGTGACCACGCCATCCAAACTTTCCGGCCCGATCCGGAACAAAAACAACAGACCAGGATATCCGCAAGATAGTATCGTGAGCCTCAGAGGCCGGGCAACGCTTAGGAAAAAAATGTAGGGTAGCTTTGGGAGATGGCAGTGAAGGACCGCAACATTACCACTCCAAGGAGCCGAATATGACTATGCATCCGCGGGCTTAAGTAGGCTTCCCGGTTGTTGCCCTGTAGACTTGTGGTGACTGCATTTTCGCCTCCTCCGCACGCTTCCATTCCAGTAGTAAACCCAAAACACCCGCATGCTGGTATTCGGTGGCTAAAGTAAGCGGTGTTCTGCCATCGCCGGCAATTGGTATGTTGGGATTGATATCTTCCCGCCCCAATAGCAGCTTGACGAGTCCCTCGTTCCCGGAGAAGGCAGCGAAGGTGAGCGGTGTGTGGCCATTATCGCCTGGGGTGTTAGGGTTGACATCGACCCGCTCTAAGAGCAGTTTCGCTGTTTCTTCGTGTCTGCAGCGGATTCCCCAAGCGAGTGGGGTTTTCCCATCGACTCTTGGAAGTTTGGGGGTGAGAGAACTTCTATCATAGACCATGTCATCATACAGGTTTTGGGTCCCTCCTTTTTGGAAAATCTTGCAGTTTAAAACTCCGTCATGGCCACAGCGGACAGCGGCTGTCAGTGGTGTTAGGCCGTCGTTGGTTGCCACATTAGGGTTCACATCTTGCCGTTTTAGCAATAGCTCCACCACTTTCTCATGCCCATTTTGGGCCGCCACCAAGAGTGGCCTCTGGCCTTCAAGATCTGGCCTGTTAGGATCAACATCTTTCCTTTGCAGCAGCAACCCTACGGTTTCCTCCCATCCATCGCTGCAGGCTCTCCAGGGTGGTGTTCGGCCCCATCCGTCTTGGATTTCTGGGTTGACATCATTCCTTTGTAAGAGTAACCTCACCATCTCGACTCTGGCGGCCTCGCAGAGCGGTGTCCAACCATGTCCTGCATCTCTGCATGAAGGAAAAGAGATATAAGGGCATCCATGGAATAATCAGGATGATTCCACGCTTCATATATACTCCCGTCTTTACTGTCAGTTTTCAGAGTGTTGAACAAGGGAACGAAGTTTTGGAAATCGGTGGACGCTTCTCGGCATGCTCATGTGATAGTTTCACTGCTTTGGCAAAAATTTTGAATCTCGGTGATGACTTAGGAATGCGGAGAGGTCAAACTGAATGCTATGGAAGCTATGGAGATGAGAGAGCATGCTCCGACACTTGGGCAGTATCACTGGAAGGCTCTAGCGAGCTAGAATTCTTGGCCCTAGATTCCTTTTTTCGGAGAATGCTCTTTTCTCTTCTTTTCTTTTTGGCATCCGGGAGGCACGAAAAGACGGGTATGCATAGTGGAAAGATGATACTGTAGGTGGGGCGATCAGTGGAGGAATGGGAATGGTCGCATTATGTTCTATACATATGTACTATATCCCCGTCAGTACCATTAGAGAAAATGAGAAGACTGAGTCCTGAGCTATCCACACCCGTTGCCATTCGCTACCTTATTTGATACCGTATTTTAGTGCGCCTAACGCGAAGTTTATGACCATACCTTTTCTATGGCCACTCCATAATGCTCAATTTTCCATTCGGCTCCGCTCACTGTGCTGTCCCACTACCGGGATTTGTCAAGGGTCCCAATAGAGAAGTAGCATGACCGGGAAGAAGGATATGATAGAGCGAAAGGCGAGCACATCTCCTGGCTAGAAAGTTTTATTTTCTGGTGGCAGAGGAAAAAGGAAATTCTCAAACTCTTATGTGTTGCAGCCATGTCTCTTCCAGATGTTTCTGCAGCCCCCCTGTTCCGCTGCATATATTTCCAGACCCATTTCCCATTACTAGGAGGAAGAATGAGGAAGAAATGCTGATTAATTGACCCGAACATCGGCACTATATCTAGAGAGTGGCAGGAAAGAATCACGATTAACTTCTTGAATTGGGGATTTCCGCGAGGCAGCTTAACAATGTGAGACGTGTTTCGCGAACTCTTCTGCTGAGTGACTGCAGGAACCGGTGTCCCTTATGATCTTGCAAATATTGTCGATCTCTACAAGCTGCTCTTCTGAGACAGCGCTAAAGATGCGGCACTATCCGGTGCAAACTTGTCGATCCCCTTACCAACTGCGCCACCAAACCAAGCAGCACTGCGATATCTCAAATGTTGGACGCCTTCCAAGCCTTCCTTCGGATAATCGGCTTTGTCGGTCAGCATACTCAGCACCGAGCTTTGTGAGGATGGAGGCGTAGCGCCCGCCGGTACTACTTTTCTCGTGAGGCATGGCCGAAACCGCTGCCCACGGCCCGCGTAAGATATGGATGGAAAAGATGTTGTTGCTCTGGTGATGCCAGTATAAAAAACATTGGGCTGCCGTACGGTACTCACGTAGCACGACGTGAGGGTGAGAGTAGTGGTGTGCAGTTCGGGGTGGTGGGGTCACCCACTAGAGAGATAGTCTAAGGGCCATACTCGGATTGATCGTTTTTATCAGGCGTTCAAGCGAAGAGAACTGAGGCAAAAACACCCAGAGCCACAACAAGTAGGGGCGTGGATGACTAAGCACTAACCCCCCCCCCCCGGATGGTGGTAGCACATATATTATGCAACACGAGGTGTTAGAAAAGCAGAGAGGGCCGTGTCAGGAATTCAGCATATTCGGGAAATTTATTTCGAATGAAATCAAAGTGAGTCGAAACAGGAGTTTGACTATGATAGCAAGAAAGAAGGCAGAGGTAGCTCTAGCTGCCGTAGAATAGGAGGGAAAAAGTGGAGAGAGGAGAGCCACAGTTAATTCAAAGGAGATTCATTGTTTGATTCAAAGATAAAGAGATGATCATTTCCTCTGTCTGAAAACGAAAAGGAGAAGAAGTCCCTTCCCCGAAAGTATAAGAAACGCGCTCCACCATGACAGCCGGTCCAGTAGTCGTATGTGAGCTCTAAATAGCCTCCCACTTCCGGATCCAATTCCATCTCAGTGTCTCCACATCAGCCGGGGATGTGACTGACCCCATTTATTCTGGAGTTGAGTCCACCCCCGCTCCCTTCACAGGCACAGAATGCTTTCAATAATTAAATTATCAACACCTTTGGTACCGAGCTCGTGATCAAGGATACCATCAATTTGTAGTATTGGCGCTATATATTGAAGGCTCCTGCAAAAATCCAAGCGAATGCCATCATATAGCCAGGTAATCTGAAGAGGTCGGTAAACATCCTGCAGCCGTTCTACTAGTAATCAATGAGAACAGGAGAATAGAGCAAAATGCACCTTTTCCTATAGATCCCACCTAAGAAAAATTAATGTATGATAATCCACCAACCAACCACCACAATACCCCCATTTACCCAGCCCTCATCATACTGTCCTACTTCAAGATACCCTACCGTATACCATTCTTCACACAACTCTGTAACCACACCAGGTAAATATAAAGTACAACACCTCCCCACGACCCTACTCATTCCAGTTCTCACAACACATCACTCGTCCCGACCCCGTGCTCAAAACGTTTCGAACACATCGCGCGGTAACTAGGAACACGCACGACCCTCAAGGATTAGCTCCAGGCGGCCCGGCGTCGGGTCTCCTGCCGTGTACCCGGCGCTTTCCCGTGCCGAGGTACCCGTAAACTCTCTTTAAATCCACCACCGCCCATCGGCCTCGGACCCTCCGGATCGGAGACAAAACACCCTGAGAAGGAATAGTGTTTTCCAGACACGGTATAGCTTAGTTAAGATGAGTCCATTGGATCTCATTAATTGGTATTCGTAATTCGTTAACCTGCTCCGCTAAGCCTATTGCTGCTTAGACCTGTGAGATCCCCGATTGTGGATGTACTGTACGTGTACTAGTACAGTACAAGTAAGGAGAGTTTACGGTAATTTAAAAAAGAGGATCTAGGGAGTTCTAAATATATGACCTCGCGGGTTACTTGCCGGTGTTTTATGAAGCGTTGGGTATCATAATTCACAATAGTAGACGCGTAGTTTTTTTTGCAACAGAGGAGTACGTGCGATATGATACTTGTTGTATAGATAAAGCTAGTACAGTTAATTCAACACTAGATGGAAAAAATTCCAACAACCAAGCACCGACCAATAACTTCTACGAATAACTTCCTTGGGCGGAAAGTGGCTCCAAGGAACATGTCCAAGATTGGTAATCCCGCCACTGTTTCACATCCCGAGGGGCCATATCAAGCCGTGGGCTTCTTCTCCTTGTGGCGGAACGGCACCAGCCGCATGTGGAGCATGTTAGAGAATGTCTCACCGAGTTCAACCGACGTGTTGGTTGAATTTGTCAAATATCTAGACTTCTCTACCTACAATCTCTTCTTAGCGAGCCCCCTTCCGATAAGGATAACGACCAACAACTATCCAAGCTAGTCACCAAGTATACTGCCACAACTCTGAGAGTTCTCTAACGTTGTAACAGCGAAAACAATGGGGATCAAATCCATTCTCCTCCCCGCGATCGTCATATTTTTAGGTCGGTCCCTAATTATACCAACATTCCCTCCCAGCCCAAGTTAACTTTTCCCAGGCTACCTCCTCCAAGGTCATGTAATCCCATACCTCCACCGCAGCTACCACCTGATGGGCTTCTCCCGCACGCTCTCGCACCTCCCACCAGAGGGCAGCTGCACAGCAGCACACCAGGACAAATTCTTAGGTTGCGAGGACATACACATCTACAAAAAGGAAAAGGGCACGACCTACATGTTTGCCGCGTGTCTAGATGAGTACTCGTACGAAAACCGGTGGCGTTTGATGTCTGAGTTGCGCGCTATCGATAACAATGATAGGCCCGTGCCGACACCGGCGGGGGATAAGATCTGGAGGTGGAGGTTGGAAACAGACGAGGTTGTTGAGTTGGAGTTGCCGGGGTTCGCGGAGGGGGGCGATGAGCGGGCTTGGCATGGTTTGTTCACCGTCCTTTCTAGCGGGGGGTGGGGCGGTTTTGTTAAAGTGATTTCAGGATTCGATTTCGTCGAAAGTGCTGACGGCACACTCTCATTCTACATCATCAACCACAAGGTCTCCGGCGACACGATCGAAAAATTCACGCACAAGCCGGATGCCAAAAATCACATCCTTACCCACTCAGCTACCTTTGCGCTCCCGGAAAATGGTATCGCGAAGCACCCCAATGACGTCTACGCTTACCCAGATCCGACCGGGAAGGACATCTTCTACGTGACCTCTGATCACAAACATGACGCCGGCATAATGCGCACGATAGAAGATTACACACGAAGACCTTGGTCACACCTAGCATACTACTCCTCCGAAACCGGCTGGAAGGTCGTCAAGTCAGGCCTTGTAGGCGCGAACGGTCTCGCCGGGACAAAGCCCACCAACGGAGGTCCGGCAAGAATCTACCTAGCAGAGTTACTCGGCGGGAACATAATGATCCTCGAACACCGACCTGACGCTGCCGGTGAACTCCGCGAAATACAGACCATACCACTCGGCTTTTTGCCAGACAACCCGTCGTTATCGCCCGGTGAGACAGACTTGTATATCGCCGGGCACGTAACCCCACTACAGACTTACAAGCACATTTATAAACCGGGCAGCGTACGCAGCGGGAGTGCTGTTGCCCGGGTCGCGCTAAGTCAGACCGGCAGTGACTTTTTCGGTGGGAAGGATGAGTATACTAGCACTCCCGTTGTTGAAGAGATATTTGTCGATGTAGAGGGCAAGTTGATTAATGCGAGTTCTACTTCTATATTTTGGGATAAGCTCCCGCCGGTGGGAGCAACCGAGGAGGGGGAGGTGGAAGGGGGAGAGGTGGCTGTAGGGGATTTGTTCATCACAGGGTTGACAGGCAGAGGTATGTTATCTATAGCGAGTGCTACTCTTTTATTTTTTTTTCCACCTACGTACTCATACTATTCATAACTAACTTGGCTTTAGGAATCTTGAGGTGCAGAGAATTCAAGTATGATGCCAGCGACGATCCAATCGTCAATGAGGAGCAGCAGGGAGACAACATGGGAAGGGACGATCACGAGGAAGAGGAATAATTTTAAGCCAATTTGTGCTCGGAGATTGTTAAACATATCCAGTCGATAAAGCCTTAGTCCCCGCCTGCAAGTGAAGTGACCATATTGTTCGGAGCCTCACCGCCTGTGTGATATAAATGGTTTCCAGTAGGGTGGTTGCCCGTTCCCCGGTAGTGGAAGATTTCCGCCATCTCGTGATACGGTAGGAGCCTAGGCTGCAAGTTACCTATGGCAAGGCCGTTTGTAACAAGGATAATTCCTGGCTTCGTATCATAAGATCCTATACGGAACGCAAATATATCCCCCACTAAGGACCGAGAGATATCTGTGGGCACACATGTACCCTTCATACCAAACCCGAACCCGGGGCGGGGCAAATTTTTATACGGCATATTATCTGTGCACTTCCCAGAGCCCACGCTAAATTCAGACTCAGACGTTCAAGCAGTTCATGCTGGATAGCAGTAGAGTGCGAGCCCTTCGAACTTCTTTTTAAAATTTCTAGACTAGTACCACTGCGCCACGGCAAAGAATAATCTGGTTAAAATGCCCCAAAGCATCCAGGAAAACAAGTATTAGTATGAAAGACGAGATGAGATGTGGATACGTTGTCAAAGTAAGAACCCGGTCCACAACAGCCAGCGCACCACCGGCCGATTCCCCAGCCCCAATAACTGAACTCTACGAGTAGATCCGCGATGCGAAAGTACAGTAAAGTACAGTACATGTATGCTCTAGCTCAACATCTGACTGTGGCCACCGGTGCAAAACTTATTTCGAGTGAGGTATAGTGAATAACAGTATCCGAGCGTACAATACAATTACGAATAAGGAAATTACGCACACACTAATTTGGTGTGATGGGATCTTTGTTCTTCCGACGTGAAGACCCCATTGAGCCTGCGTCGATAAGCGAATAGTA